GTCATTTTTTTTTTTCGGATCAAGTTCGAAATGGCCGACTGGCGGCCATTTTGTTTTAAAGAATTCAGTTCTGGATCCGTATCCGAGACATGTCTGGATTGATCAAGTTCAAACTTCACACACACAAGGTACATCATGTCACAAATATGTATGTGCATTTGTTTCATGATCCCATTAACGATAGCCAAATGGCGGCCGCTTTAAGGCCGAAAATGCATTGAAATCGCACATTTTCACCATTCCGGACCCAGATCTCAGTTATGCATGGACGGATTTCATTCAAATTTGGTACATACATTAAACATAATAGGACCTTGATGCACGTCATTTTTTTTTCGGATCAAGTTCGAAATGGCCGACTGGCGGCCATTTTGTTTTAAAGAATTCAGTTCTGGATCCGTATCCGAGACGTGTCTGGATTGATCAAGTTCAAACTTCACACACACAAGGTACATCATGTCACAAATATGTATGTGCATTTGTTTCATGATCCCATTAACAATAGCTGAATGATGGCCATTTTAAGACCGAAAATGCATTAAAATCACGTATTTTCACAATTCCGGAACCAGATCTCAGTCATGCATGGATGGATTTTGTTCAGATTTAGTACAATGTGTTGTACAAACGCAGGTGCATTTCGGTCATGATCTGCTTTGAATGTATATGTCACTCAAATATGAACGGAACGGGGACGTGTCATTGACAATGACTTGTCTAATGATGTCTTCAGTTCTTTAATTGAAATGTGCATTGATAACAGCAAAGCTATCGTCCACACCCTTGATCCATTACGGAAAATGTACACAAAAAAGACAAGACTGTACGTATCTTGGCATTATTGTCCAAGCATTTTAAGGTAGAATGCTACTCACGAGCTTTTTTGCTCTTCACAGATGTTATCGCACATAAAAATGACACAATTTCATGTCGAAATCTGTCTACAATTATTCATTTTAGTATTAGTCAATTATGTAATTTTATTTCTGTACAGGGCCTCACCACATCGTACAAAATGTAATGGGTAGAAAAGTGCATATCACGTTTTAAAAACAATACAACATCCATGTAAACATATGGTACTAAGTTAAGCTGGATTCATATTTATCTCGTCGCTTGAAAACTTTTAAAAGATACATAGCTATATGATATATGGTGTGGCAGTTTGTGTAGCGACGAAGCAAGCCCAGACTGTCAGTATAGCATAATTGCAAAAAATTATTGACAAAAGATCAGCCCTTAGATCATTATAAAATGGACATATAAAAACAAAGTGAATTTCAATTGTCTACCATGCTAAATTCAAACGTATCTCTGCAAAAACTAAAAATTTATTGATCTAACTGTATTTTTGTGTGTCTGCCTAATTCAACATTATGTTATAGTTATATATATATTTTAGTCTATAATTGCTTGCCAATAAATCTCCCAGGTTATAATACTACATTGATTTTTCCGAAAGTACACAGCCTGAATGAATGTGAAATTGGGGCATGCCATTCTTGCTGACACAATTTTTTTATTCTTTGAAATTCTTCCCTAGAAATTTGCAGTATCTGCAA